AGGAGATTAATCAGAACTGACTTTGACAAGCACTGTGGCAATTGGACAATTAAAACAGACATTCGGGTGGCAGGGAAGAAGAACAAACTGGGGAGGAGGGTGGAGAGAATGGTGCGGCAATGAAGGAGTGAAAGCCCAGAATCCCTGTGAATGTTCATTGAAATTAATTAAATTTAATAATAATTTAAAAAAAGAAAAAGTAGACACGTATTAAAATGGACAGATGAAAAGGAAGTATCCAATATGGGGATAATCAGCAAAATCTCACTAAAGAAAAGAAAGACAGAGGTATAGAGGGATTAATAGAAATCAGAATCACAGGGAAGAAGGAGGAAAAGTGCAATTTCATTGTAGCATAGAAATTAATGTTATGGGGCAAAATGTGTAGGAATCATTGAATGAAAAATTAACTTGCTTTATGACATCCACAAAACAATATTACAAATGAATAAATAATATGCAGCCTTAGGAGCAATGATTTTGAAAAATACTACGTAACTTGGGAGAGGCTGGAGAACATTATGTTGAGTGAACTAACGCAGTCACATAAGACCATTATTGTGAAAATAGAAGGGTAATTAGTAAAACATGTAAGGGAACTCAAGATGGGGAGAGCGGAGGGTGGGTAGGGGTGAAACCACAGGGTTGCACAGTTTGCTGGGTGGAGGAAGAGGGGAAGTAAATGGGAAGGAGATGGGTGACAAGACAGGGTAAGATCCAATGGTGATTAGTTTTATAAAACATAATGTATGAGAACTATTGTATAAAATACAATGTGAATGAAAAATAGTGTAAGACACAAGATATAGGAACTTTGTAAGTAAGCCAATTTTTAAAAAAATGGGATAAAAAAAGGAGGGGAATAAATTGAATGTGTCAGGACATGTGAAAAGTCCACGACACTCCCATTTCCGTGTCCATATATGCAGTGTTAATGCACACAGCCACCCCAGGTGCTCACATGCTGCCTGCGTGCTCCCTACGACCAGGGTGACATCAAATCACCGTGACAGAGACCATCAGACTGTATGGATCACAAGCCTCACAGGAATGGCCTGATCCTTTTCAGACCCCTCTGTTCTTTCCACTTCAGGGGTCTTTGGGGATGTCATGGCCAGGCCCGTGACGGCTGAGGCAGAGCTAGTCCGAGGACTAAAACTGGAGACAGTCTGCTCAGAACATTCTGGACTCATGGACACCACTTCCTGGGTCACTCCAGGGGCCTCACTGTCCACAGAGCTGAAAGGAAGCCCAGCCTGGCTAAGTGGACCCCAGCCAGGACACTCACCGTCCAGCCGCCCCCGTCCGTGCTCATGTCACAGTAGACCTGGAAACCAGCGGGGTAGTGAGTGGGGAAGACCGAGTAGATGCCATCCTCCTGCTGCCCGCTCAGTAGGACGTCCAGACAGTCACGGGGCCGAGAGCCTGAGGCAGAGAGGGAGGTCAGGGGCCACTGGGTACACGAACCCGAGTCCCCAACCACCCTGTTTCTTCTTGACATGGTCCCTGGGTCTTTCTGACTTGTTTGTGGACAATCCAGCAATGTCCTGTCTGGCAAGAATGCAGGCTGGGTTCAAGCCTGGGGTCTGTCACTCACTGGGTAAGTTTGTTGATATTAGGTGCCACTGAGTTAAATATGACTTACAGCGACCCTATGACCAGTCAACCTGAACCCTGCCCTATCCTGTGCCATCCTCATCATCTCTGATACACTAGAACCTATTGCTAAAGTCACTGTGACTGTCTATCCTGTTGGGGGGGGGTCTTCCTCTCCTTCACTGACTCTATGAAGAAGAATGTGCCATCAGGATTGGAGGAAGACTCATCAACAACATGCGTTATGCAGATGACAACTTAGCGTGGTGCATGCGTGTATGTTTAAGGGAGTGAGTTACCCTTTGTTTCACTTTCCTCATCTGGGAAATGGGCACAATAACCCCATCTTGTAGGGTCTAGGAGAAAGCTCAGTGGCAGGATGCAGACAAGGTGCTCAGCAACGCCTAACCCACTGCCATCAAGTTGGTTTTGACTCATGGTGACCCTAAAGGACAGAACAGAGCTGCCTCATAGGCTCTCTAAGGGTTTAAATCTTTATAGGAACAAATTGCCTCATCTTTCTCTTAAGGGGTGGTTGGTGGATTTGAACCATTGAGCTTTTGGTAGCAACCTAATTCTTAGCCTATGACACCAGCCGGGTGCCTCAGCACTGTCCACCCCCAGCAAATCCACAGTAAACAACACACAGCTGTGGGTAGGTTGGGGAAATTGGGGGACGGGGTGTAAGAATGAGGATGGCCATGAAGGTTTCTCAGGGCAAACCCACCCCCAGCTTTCTGCTCCTCTGGGCAGAACACCTAGGCCACCACAGGATAGCACCCCACACTCACCGTTGGCACAGCCCCGGGGCCGTGTTCCCCTGGCCGGTGACCTCTGGAGATCGGCCTTGACTCGGGGCCGGCCTAGCCCCCGCTCCTGGTGCAGGGCATCCAGGACGTCACTGACGGAGTTGACCAGGTGGGCCATGTGACCTTGGCTCTCAGAGAGAAGCTGCAGAGCACAAAGATGGGCAAAGGGGGAGGGAGAGGCTGTGGGAGAGCTCAGGGACACGGCGCATCACCTGTCAGGGTGCCTCCTGCACTATCTGTGCTGAGGAGGGCTCTGTACAGAATGGCAGCCCCAAAATCTGGATCAGAGGGGCCAATGCTCTGCCAGAGCCTGCTGGTCTAGGGCAGTGAGCACTCAGGACAAGAGGCTCAGGACAAAGGGGCAAGGTGGCCCCAGCCGGCACATGCTGTTACCAAGCTCTGCTTTTCAGTCATTTCTGTGCACTTAGCACAGGGAGGGATGAACTGGTGGGGGTCTCTCATGCAGTACCTGGCAAACCTGAGTTCAAACCCAACTCAGCCACTTCCCAGTCCTGTGACTTTGGGAACACTTTCCTCTGTTACCACGGTTCACATGACCTCCCCTGAATAAAGTGCTGTAGACCAGAGACATGAGCATGGAGCCTGAAACAGCCATGGATCTGTGATGATCCAAGTGCAAAGCCTTTCCCTCTCTGAGGGGTCAGGCCCAGTCAAGGTCAAGAAGGAGCCTAAGAAACAGGGATCCTCAGTCTCAGGGAGGAGCTAGGGGCCTTAGTGCACCCCTGTGCTCAGGCTGGGCCCCAGGAAAGGAAACTGATATCCACAAACTTCACTCTAACATTCCTCAGGTGCCCACAACCTCACCAGATCCTCACCCTCACTGTAAGAAGGCAGGACTTAAGTTGTTTTCTTTGATACAGAAACTGAGGACCAGGAGACGTTTTCCTGAGTGAAGAAGACTAGGATTTAAACCAGTCCCCTGGGCTGACCAGACCCAGAGCTGAGGTCACTGCAGTGTGTCCACGGAGGGGTCAGTACAGCCCTGAGAAGAGGCTGTTTGGACCCAGACCCCAGAGGTGGCTGTCTGGCTTTCGGCTTCAATCCTCTCCCCTGCCATTACCCATGTCGTCCTGGGACGGTGACTGAGCCCTCCACCCCTAACTTTCTTCTTTCACAACCTGGGTAATCTGGGGAGGGCAGGCAGAGATTCCTGTTAGCATGTGTTCAAGCCTTCATGCTCAGGAATGTTACCTATTTTATTGCTCCCTTTGCAGGGACCTGTCTTGTAAAGCAGGACATTGCTCCCCCAGAGCCTCTCAGCCATCTCTATGTTGGAGGGGCCTGAGGTATTTGTCTCCCCACTTTGGGTCCCTGAAAGGCAGCAGGGACAGGTGGCCAGCTGGCCAATGAGCCCAGTGTTGCTGAGGTCTTTACACACTGTTTCAGTCACTCGGCAGACAACAGCCCATCTGAGGACAGAAAATAGAAATATATAGTAGAGGCTGTTTACAAAATATGAGTCTCTGGCTTGTCCCAGGCAGGAGCCCTGCAAAGCTTTTAGTTTCCCCTCTGCTGAGCAGATGCTTCAGTGAGGGCTGAGCCGGGGGTGAGAATGGGGAACAGGGAGCCAGTCAGGTGGGGTTCCTCCCTGGGCATCACTACACAGTACTGTAGAGGATCTTGGTGGAAGCCCTACAAGGGGGCACGTGTGGGCAGGGGCTGAGACCAGTCCACAGTCTGCGAGCTCCTGACCCAGTGGATTGAACTGCACACACCATTCCTGAGAACCATCCTTTGGAGTCACCTCAGCGTCAGAGGAAGGGGAAAGGCCAAGACACCCCAGAAACTCAGGCATGGCCTCTTCTTGCTAAAGGGCAGGAAAGACCTCGGTTTAAACCAGCAAATTATTAAACTTGAAAATGTACATATAAACATGACTCGAATGAACGTGGAAGCCAGACCGTGAGTGCTGAGCTGTGAGATGCAGCCAGAAGGACTGTGATGGGAAATCGTAGTTGTTGGGACCAAGCATAAATAAGGCTCTTTGATGCTGAGAACCTCAGTCCGTCTCTCTGTAGAATGAGATAATAACTGTATCAATTTCCTGGGGTTATTGTACAGCAAGGTGTGTATCTCATGGTCTGGGCTCAGCTATAGTGGCTTCCATCAGATCCGGTGGCTTAATGGTATTGAATTGCTCTGTCAACACAAAGGTATGCGGTTCGAATCCACCAGATGTTCCGTGGGAGAAAGATGGGCAATCTCCTCCCATGTGATTTACTGTCTCTGAGAACTCGCTAGAGATTCAGCTTATGCCTTGGCTTAGACTTGAGAGTACACAACAACAACAACGAGTGTAACTAGTTTATTCACTTGGATACTAAGTGAAAAGCTGGAGATTTGAGTTACTCAGAGGGGATGCAAAAGAAAGACCTGGAAATCTAGTAAAGAATGAAAACCAAAAACCCCCCTTATAGAACAGAACACTGTTCTACTCTGGTACCTATGGGGTTATCACAAGTTGAAACTGACTAGTAAACTGGTATTATAGAAAGGACTTTAAGTTTAGAGCTCCCCATAGCTCTCAACTTCAGTTTACAATTTCCAACATAACAGAAAAGAGGGAGTAATAGTGGAAATAATGACAGTGAGGCTCTCGGCGGTGCCAGAGGCTGGCCAAGCCCTGTGAAATTTGGTGCCCACAGCACCTCGTCAGGGCTGTGTGCTCTGCTGCTCCCATCCTGGAAGTGAGGAAACCCAGTCCCCAGAGGGACCGGGCCTGCCTTCAGCCCCACAGCTGGAGCCTAGATTGCATCCCAGGACCGCAGGGGTGGCCCAGGAGCTTGTCTTCCCATAAGCACCCCTGGAAATTCTGGGGTTCTCAAGGGTTTATCTTTGAGGAGTTTGTGCCTCAATCAGACAGGGGAACTTAGAGGCACTAGGAGCCCCAGCTGGCTGCCTCTGTATGAGACACAAAGACAAATTGTCTCTGAAATCATCCGGACTCTGTGGGAAGTGAGTCAAATTAAACATTTTTTGAGAAGTAAATACATCAGGTGAGCCCGAGCTCTCCTGTGCCCTGGAAAAGCTATTAGTCTTTCAGGAATAGCTCTACGCCTCTTTGTAGGCTTTGGGGAGGGAGGATGCTGAAACTCCACATGCCACCCCCTATCACATACTCAGCATTCAAAATAAGCATCTGTGGGTGAGCTTGAGCCAACCAGGAGCACAGCGCCTGGAGAGCAAAGTGGGGACTGAGATCACCCAGAATGTCTGAAGGCCTCCCCAAGTCTTGCTGACAGTGCCTGGGGAAGTCACAGATGGAAGGGACAGCAAGAAGGCTGGCTCCACACCCCCACCCCGCCCCAGGAGCGGGAAGCCGCCTTCCCATCAGTCACCAAGACAGGGTGATGAGGACTGTAATTTCTCCAGCTGCAGCCTTCAGAGGGAGGGAAAAGGCCCATTGCTCACGAGCTGCTGGGTGACCAGACTGCTTGGTCATCTGGATGTCGAGGTGGGGGATGCAGAGCAGGTGAAAGGGGCTAGGGCAGCTGAGCTGGTAGAAGCGGGAAGTCAGAAGAGTGACAGGGAGCAGGGCTGGAGGCCAGGAAGGGCACCAGGTCACATTCCAGATTGAGTTTGGCACTGAGCCTAGAACAATTCACCATCTTTGGGCCTCAGTGTTCTCTTCTGGAAAATGGAGGCAGACAAATGAGTTGGTCGTAAATGGCCAGTTGTATGAAGGGGAAGCTTTTTGCTGGTCATCAGGTGCTGTTTCTGAGCCAACACTGGACACTCTGCACTAGACCCAGAGCCTGGCTGGCTCAGGAGCAGGGCTGGGGATGGTTTGGGGCTGGCACAGGGGCCACCTGGCCTCTCAAAACTGGTCTTCCCTTGCCTACAAAGCTGTGGACATCCCTTGGCAGTGGACTCAGGGAGCAAAAGAGAGGGGGTGCATCTCTCTCTGGCCTGAAAATTCTGGAAGAGGGCTCATCACTTAAACATAGTTGGTGTGTCCCTGAACAAGTAATTTTCTACTGGGACTCAGTTTTGTCTCCAGTTGGGGCCTGTAATGTGGAGCATCTGGGAGGCCTGAGACTTGGTTTGGCCTAACTTTGCCTGCTCTGGGATCACAGGGTAAGATGGCAGAAGAGAAGTTAGATTTGAGTTTTAGTGTTGCTACTGGGAGCTGTGTGGCCTTGGGAACTTCTCTGGTCTCACTTACTCATCTATGAATGGGATCTCAGCCCAGTATCCTGGTACTTAGGGATTTGGTGAGATTATGGACGTAAGGTGCCCAGCTCAAGGCCAGCATGCTGTGACAGCAAGCCCATGCTCTGTCAAGCTCCCAGGGCACAGGCTGCCCCTTACCTGGATAAGGCGTCCCTGCTCATTCTGCAGCGTGGTGAGCCCCTGGCCCAGCGTGCTGTGTCCCTTCCGCAGTCCCACGCACTCTGCCTGCAGCTCCGAGGCCCGGGCCAGCAGTCGGGGCAGCTGGTCAGCCAGCGTGTCCAGCAGAGCCTGTTCCTGGTCCCCCGCCAGCCGAGGCTGAGCCTGGTGCTCGGTCAGCGCCTGGAGCACGGAGGCCTGGGCACCCTCCAGGCGGGCAAAGCCGTCGGTGAGGTCAGGGCAGCGTGGGTCGATGAGGATGCTGAGGCGGGAGCTGTCAGCCCTGTCCACGGTGACCAGGGCACTGTTGGGCCCAGCCGGACCGGTGCTGACCACAGGTGGGGGTGCTGTGCCCGGCGTGTGGGTGTGGTTCAGGAATAGCACCGCACCTGTGACCGCCACGGCCAGCAGCACGGCCAGCGAGAGCAGCACGGTGCACAGCACGTAGCCACAGCTTGGCCGCTGGGGCCAGTGAGGTCACACAGACAGACAGACAGACAGACAGACGGACAGAGGAAAGTGATAAACATTAGACGCCTGTGTGCTGGCTCCACTCGGTGGGCAGGGCGAGGGCAGCCTGAGGGATGGGTCTTTGGCCTTTGTGAGACCCCAGCAAGGCTCAGAGGAGCCTTTAGCCACATAGAGCTGGTGAGTGAGAGATGTGGACCATAGATGCAGAGAGAAAGGAGGAAGGGAAATAGCTGAGTGAGAGATACAGGGAAAAAGAGATGGGGAGGAGAGGAAAGAAAAAAGAGAGGCTGAGGCAGAGAGAGGGGAAGACCTATGAAGAGACACGTGCCCTGCATAGTGCAGGCATGAGGACCCCTCCCTCCCCTCCCTCCGGCTCCTGCAGCTGTTGGGGAGGGGGGTGGGGGAGGCACAATACTGTAGAAACAGCACCTGCACTCGGGAAAAGCCTCACTTTTTGGGAGACATGCAAGCCACCCTCGAGATACTCAGGTGGCCAGGAGGGACAAGACCACCTGGTGCTCCGCATAGGACTGTGTCCCGAGCAGGATTGCAGGAGCTGGGGCTACAGGGAGCCAGGCAGAAGTCAGGGGACTCCAGAAGTAAGAGGGGGTGGGCACGGACAGAAAGCTACCCCTGGATCCCTCCCAGATCTGGTGGTGACTCTGCAGCCAGATGGGACTGGGTCCACATTCCTGTGTGAGCATCTCGATCTGTGTGACCTCAGGCAAGGGGCCTCGCCTCTCTGAGCCTCAGCTTTCTCGTCTGTAAAATGGAGGCAATAAGGACATTCACCTCCCTGGGGAATTGTGCCTGCCATTTGGACTCAGAAATTATGACATTAAAAATGATCACTTGTCACTACAGAACAAGTGTCTTGGGAATAGTAAGCTCTTTTCACTGACAGTTCTTTACAGCCTGGGGTACTCACACTCCAGGGGTCCTAGTGGCCTCAGCAGGCCCATGGCTGGCTTTCCAGTTTCAGGCACACAGCAGGACTGAATAACCACCTTGTCTCTCCTGCCCTCTCCCACACAGAGCACGCCCCTGGCAGGACGAACGCCAAAGAGCAGGGCAGAGTAGTGTTATGGTCACCTGGTATACGTGGTCTCCCTACCTCCACTGAGGCCAAAGCTGGGGTGAGAGGGTTCTGAGAATCAATCCCCATAATGACAGTGGATTTGAACTGACAGAGACAAACTCAACCTTCCAGTTAGCTGCTCAAGAGGCTTTGGACAGTGGTATCAGGGTAAAGAGGCAAAGTGGGAACGAGACAGTGTAGATGGTCTGAAAACTGGGTCCCAGGACTGGGAGGCCTTACAAAAGCCCTAACAACCTGGGTCATTTCAGTGCCATTTACAATTAACTGAGATGTGGTCCCTAAAAAGGAGCTCTGCAGTTCGTTGCATGTTGTACGTTAACCGCAAGATCAGTGGTTACGAATCTATCAGCTGCTCAGCAGAGGAGAGAGGGGCGGGCAGGGTCCTCCACAAAGATCTACGTTCTTAGAACCTGGAGGAACAGTCTTAATGGCAACGCATTTGGTTTGATCCCTAAAAGGAGCCCTAGTGCTCAGTGATTAAGCTACTACAGAAAACGTTGGTAGTCTGAACCCACCCTCGAATCCTCCAACGAGGGAAAAAAGCTCAATGCTGTCAAGTCAGAAATGACTCACAGCTGACCCTCCAGTGGGTCTTCAGAGGCTGTAAACTGTACAAGAGAAGACTGGCCATTCAGACTGCCAGACAGGCTCAGGCTCTGGGCTAGCAGTGTGCCTCCCCAACTCCCTACAGACTAGGCTGCCAGAGCTTCAAAGCTCTGGCCTGCAGCCTTGACATCCCTATAGCACAGTGTGTCGACCCAGTGCGTAAAGAGTTTGAACCCACCAGCTGTTCCATGGAGGAAAGCTGGATAATCTCTTCCTGTGTGGTTCACAGGGAAGGTCAGCTCCAATCAGTTCTGACTTGATGGCAATACCTTGAGTCATACAGTGGCTACGAGTCTGGATCATCTCCACAGTAGTGGGTCCTGGTGCCTGAAGCACTTAGCAGGGAGCATGATTCACACGAAGCACCACACAGCGATAGCAAACACTTTGAGGGCCCAGATCCACTGGACTGAATCCCTCACAGCCCAAATGCGGGCGGGAAGAGCAGCCACTGAGTATCCTATACAGGGAGATCCCGAGGCCCAGCAAGGCAAGTGCCTTGTCCAGAGTCACACAGCAAATTGGAAGCAGAGCTTGGGCTGGCCCCTCCTCCTCCCTCTCTCAGGGCCAGACTGTAACTCACTCCTTAAATCTAAGACACATACTTCCCCACACACACATTTTAAACTTTCTGAATCTAAGATGCATCTTTAAGGGAGTTAGTATATTAAAGCACTTGGAGCTAAGCCCGGCACATTGTGTGTGTGCAATAAATATTAGTGGTTTTTATTATCTCATGATCAATGTGTACAGTGCATCTGGAGGGGATGGGGTTTTTTCCCACCACAGTGCTATTTCTGCATGTTGTCTGTGCTGGCATGCATGGTCTCCTTTTTAAAATTTCACAGCCCTGGTGCTGGGGAGCACCTGACACTTGCAATTGGCAGCTTCCCCCTGCCCCCCATCTTCAATGAAACATAAAATAGTGATGTTTCTTACATCATTGCCTCTTACTACTAAGAAAAAAACAGCAGAACAAATGGCTTCTTTTCTATTAACTTGAATTCTGCAAGTTTATCCTGAAGTTCCTACTCGACACCAGAAGAAAATGGGGGGTTTGAGGTGACTACCAGATTCCCAAGGAAGGGTTCAGTTTTGTGGCTGAGATAAGACAGCATCCTTGGGCTGTCCCTGCATTGGTCTGCTGCCCCCTCTGCACACAATGCCCGGGTTTTCTTGGTACATACACAATTTTGTGTGTGTACATATAGCCATCAACCACAATTTACTGCAGTCAGACCAGGACAAGTTACCCTTCCCTTTGGGGGTCACCCTGCCCATTGCTCTCTTTGCCTGGAGCATCCCCTTCCCATGCTCCCCAACCACCAGCCCTGCTTGTTGTCTTCCTTCAGGTCTTAGTGGAGAAGAGACATCACCTCTTCCAGGAAGCCCTTTTTGTCTGTCTCGTCACCCCTTCCCCTATTTTGTGAGGGAGCTCCCCTTCCTGTTCCGGCAACCTTCTGTGCTCCCCCTAGTGGCGCTCCCCTAGTGGCGCTCATCACGACTGTTCACAGTTTTCACTGATTCATTTGACTTTCACTGGTATTCATTATAAACTAGTTCTAGGTCACTGTCTGAGAACAAAGCAGTGTACAAATTGGGTCTGGTTCCCACTCTAAGGTAGTTCACACCCCATAGAGAGTGGCTCTTAATGTCTCTTGGTGTGTGGACACCTTTTGGGGACTGGGGCCCAGTTAATTCAAGGTCTAAGGTGGTGGTCCTAGATGGTGTGAGCCCCCAAGGGCAGTGAGCTAACTAGTGGGGACGTCCTGACACCCCCTGACACAGAGAACTCCTGATGTTCATTTTCCGGGAGGAAGCGAGATGTCAGCGGACGTCTCCATGATGATGCTGGCGCGATGTGGAGGTGGACATGTTCCCAGGACCTGCAGCATCACCCTGGCAGAGGGTCATCACCTCTCTGCTAAGCCTTGGGTCCCCTGGCACTGCCACCACTAACTCTGTGCCCAGATGGCATGGAACAAAGGCACGTCTCACCTTCCCTAGGCCCCTGGCCACCACAGGTCAGCAGCTGCCACCACACTCCCATCATTCTCTGAGCACTCACCATTTGCTCACCACTGAAAACTCCAAATCCTCCCCGTGGCTTCATTTTGCAAACAGAAACACTGAGAGGACAAACCTTTGCCCACAGTCCCTCGGGGACCCAGTGACCGAGCCATCACTTGAACCCTGGGTAGCAGGCTCTGGGACTGTGTTCATCTCTGCCAGGGCCACCTGCCCAGCCTCTTATAAGGGTCTCTCCTCTTAGTAAAGCCTTGCTGAGGTTTGAGTGACAAATTTCTGTGTCAGCAAGTCCCTGTTGCACACGCTCCCTAGGTGCAGCCATCGTCCACCTTGCCCCAAGCAAGCAGCTCTGAGTTTATCCATAGACTGTGTGGCTTTAAGGTCTTCTGGCTGGCGAGACCAGGGTTGACCTGGTAGTGGCCAGCATATCCTCTCTCCGTCTCCAGGATGCCAGCACTATCAAGCACCCTCCTCCTCCCTCTGTCCTGGCCTCTGTGGGGGAAGGCAGAATGGGGGAGTGGGACAGGGGCTGGAGAAAGCTGCAGGGGTCCATAGAGGGCCAGGCGGGTGAGCAGGGGATGATGAAGCTTGGAGATGAAACAGGCCACTCAGCAGAGGAGAATTAGTCTTCAGAGACCACCTTAAAGATGAAGTACTGTTCGCTTTTATAGGCTGTCTCTTACGTGCCTTGCAAAGAAATCTGCCCAAGATAATAAGGAGGGGGAGGGCTTTCAAGGTTTGCAGCCCAAGGAGTCTGCTGTGGGTCTGGAGTAGACTAACCAGCCTTGGCCTAGGCAGAGCCGGGTGCACAGCCTGGGGTCCGCGGGAGGCGACAGAGCCACAGGAAACGCCCGGCTCTCCAGCACTGCGGGTGGAAAGGAGTTTTTGAGGCCAGGACACACGAGATGAGTTTGAGACTCATTTCTACCTCTCAACATCTGCCTGGGCTCCCAGCTAAAGGGAACTCAGCTTTGTTCGTGAGTGCCCCCCAGTGCTTAGCCCAGGGCCAAAAGTTACCCAGGAAATCCTTACTATGGTAAGGATAAAGTGGGCTGATGGCAAGGTGCAGGCAGGAGGTGGGCAGCCCTATTGTTGTTGTTAGATGTCATCAAGTCAATAACAACTCTTACCTTATGAACAACAGATGGAACCTTGCCCTATCCTGCGCCACCATCACGATTTCTCAAGCCCACTGCTGTAGTCACTGTGTTGAGGACGTCTGTGGAGGCTGCCTCTCCTGAGTCCTCGGTCTCAAGCA